CTGCACAGCACTGGGCGTCGGGTCGTGTCTGAGCAGCTGTGGGCCTGGCGCTGGGGCCACATCTCCTCCCACGGGGCGGACACGAGGACTCGCCGTGTTTGGCACCAGCAGCACAGACAGGAATTGCCTGCCCCTCCTCCAGTGAGAAGCATCCAGAGCCTTGGGTTCACGTCCTGACACCCTGGGCGGCCTGTGTGCTGAGGGCAAGTGGCCCAGTCGGCTGGGGTGGTCTGGTGGGGAGCGGGCTTCAGGAGCAGGTGGGACGAGGGCAGACGAGCGAGGTGCCCACCCTGCAGGTGCACAGCCCCGATGGGCAACGGGGCCCTCGCTCACCCCCAGACCCGCAATGTGCCGCCCCTGCTTACAGACACACGCTCCCATGGGAACGCTCCCCAGCCCCCAGTTTATGTCCTCTGCCGGGGCCAGGGCCGGGCCAGGCTTTCTAGGGCTGCATCTGCCCTCATGGTCTAGTCCCGTGGTCGGCAAACTCATTAGTCAACAGAGCCAAATGTCAACAGTACAACGATTGAAATTTCTTTTGAGAGCCAAATTTTTTAAACTTAAACTATACAGGTAGGTACATTGTTATTAACTTAATTAGGGGACTCCTAAGGCTTAGGAAGAGCCACACTCAAGGGGCCAAAGAGCCGCATGTGGCTCGTGAGCCACAGTTTGCCGACCACGGGTCTAGTGGACTTTCCTCCCCTACGAACTGTAGGGATTCACCTACACGCAAAAATGAAGAGAAGAGAGAACTGTGTTGTCATCAACACGGGGCCCGCGGCCCGCCTCCCCACCCGGGCTCATTGGAAGCAAATCTCAGATCACATCGTCCAGGGCGGGCGGTGTCTGTGCAGCTGGCGCCAAGCACGGCGAAGGTCAGGGTCTCTCGGGCAGGACTGTTGTCATTGGCTTAGCCTCCCTGGTGGACTGGGCGGGGGCCGCGGCCTGGGCTTGGGCCTTCCTGCTCGCGGCAGCTGCAGGACCAGCGTTCCTCGTGTGCGGGGAGACCCCCAGGACCCTGGGTCTCCTGAGGTCACCCCAGTGGCAGATCACTGACCGTTTCCGGGAAGGGTGGGGGGGCCCCCGCATGCTGAAGCCTCCCGTTGGGGGCGCGTGGGCGCTCTCCCTGGTCCTCGGTCCGCACGGACGGGGTGGGGCACTCTTCTCCCCTTATAGACGGGGAACGGCTTGGCACGCCGCCCGGGGGCTCGTTTCCCTATGGGCCCTGCCTCTGCCATTTCCTGTTGACAGGACCCTGGGGCCCTGGGTCAGGGCCTTCCCGGGAACCCCCAGCACCTGCCCCTCGCGCCCCCCTGCTGTGCTTCGTCCTGGGGCCATGCGGCTGCCCCTCCCCGGGACTGCCCCAAGAGCTCCTCCTGGTCAGGCATGGGACCCAGATCCCCATAGAAGAGCCGGCCCTCCCTGCGGGTGCATAGCCTGCCCAGTTAGATCTGCTCTCCGAGGCGGGTCCGGTGCCTGCGCACACAGGGGTGGCGCCTGCCTGTGGGGGACACGGGGAGGGAGGCAGTGGTGCTTGGTTTTACGGAGCGAGCATTCCCTCCCCCGGGTGGCCTCTCTGCTGGGGTGGGGTGGGGCACCGCCCCCGAACCTTCCCTCTGACTCTGTAACTGAGGAGCGCGCTCTGGCCTCCGACGGGCCGTGGTTCAGAACAGCTTTACTAGAGACTCACACACCGTGCAGTCTGCCATTTGCATTGAGGTGTGCTTTTGTTTGTTTTTTATGGATTTCAGAGAGGAAGGGAGAGGGGGAGAGAGAGAGAGAAATATCAATGATGAGATAGAATCATGGATCGGCTGCCTCCTGTACACCCCCTATTGGGGATCAAGCCCACAACCCGGGCATGTGCCCTTGACAGGAATAGAACCCGGGACCCTTCAGTCCACAGGCCAACGCTCTGTCCACTGAGCCACACCAGCCAGGGCTGCATTGAGTTTTAACTACTGGTGTCAAACAGGGACAGCTAGGAGGACTTTGGTCCTCACGGCAACCTGTGGGGTGGACACGGGCCCATTTTACAGAAGAGGAAAGTAGGGGAGGCTGGTGGTCTCCCCGTGCTGGCCCTGGGGGGGGCTAGGCTGGGGCAGAATGAAGAGGCCACCCTCTTCATAGGCCACCCCAGGAAGGTCTGGTGTGTGGGGTCCCAGGTGGTCCTGGCCTTGCCCTGCTGGCCTGTGTGAGAAGTGACCCAGTTCGGGAGGCTAGCAGAGCCTGCCGCTGCCTGTCCAGGCATCTCCCAGGGCGGGTGAGGCCACCTTTGAGGGCCCACTCGGCCGGCTGATGGTGGAGTGTGTGGGGAGCACTTCCCAAGAAGGGTTCCTTAGGAGAGGGGTCCCTGGCCAGGTCAGGTTGGGAAAGCGGATTAAACAAAGTTAAGCAGGTTTATCTTCAGGATTTTCAGAACCTTGACCCAGAGGCCGTGTTCATTGTAAGGGGCCATCAGCATGCAGGTGCCCAAGCCCATTTGGCCACAGACCCTCAGGACGGCTCCATGTCCCGTCCAGAGTTGGGGACACACGTGCCTGAGTGACAGATGTCCTCAGGGAAAGAACCAAAGTGGACTGCGTGGGCAGACGGACGATGGGCAGGTGGACAGAGGGATGGCTGCAGAGAGTGAGGTGGCCCCTGGGTTCTCCTGGCCCAGCAGCCCTTCCTCAGCCCAGTGCCAGCTGCCTGCCCCCGAGGAGCCCGCCTCCGATGGGTGACTCCTGCCCGCCATCCAGGGCACCCCTGGTGACGGCTCCTAAGCTCATGACATCAGCTCCACAGGGCCATTTGCCACCCACCCTGAGCCCCTCCCAGCTCCCTGGAGCCACAAGAGCACCTGGCTGGTGACCCGGGAACTTGGGGATCCAGTTCCTTGCTGGAATGCCACGCCTCCCAGTTGCCAGGAAAACCCGTGGGCTGGGGAAACAGCCCCTCACGTCAGGCAGGGCCTGGCTGCAGGGCTTGGCAGGAGTCCGGCGCCGTGCCCTGTCCCGCTGCCGTGCCCTGTCCCGCTGCCGTGCCCAGCAGCCGGGCACACGCTCATGCGTTGGAGAAGTGCTCTTCTTCCCAAGCCTCTTGCGCTCTTTCCGGCCCCGGGGATGGGACTCACCAGCGGGACCCAGCCTGTGCCAGAACCCACGCACCGCACCGGGGCTGGGCCCGCAGGAGCACCCCTAGCATGTGCTCCAGCACCCCACCCCCCACCAGCCCCGGGACCACATGCGTGGCCCACAGTGGGGTCCTCTGCGCAGCAGGCAGGAAGCTTTCGCTGCAGCCCCCTCTCCCCCCGAGCAAGGGCCAGCCACGCTGCTCTGTGAGCCCTGCCTCTGGCTGCTGTGGGGGATGGGAGCCACGTTTCCGAAGCGACACACGCAGGTGCCACCGGGCAGGGGATAACCCTTCCTTCCTAGCTTGGTGGCCTTGACCTTGCATTCTTGGCCACGTCAGCTGTTCCCCATGTGGGACAGGGTTGGATGAGGGGGGCAGGGCCCGCGACCCTAAGTGGTCCTCAGACCAGCGCATCGCATACCTGGATGCTCCTTAGAACTGAGTCAGCCCAACCGCATGGCTCAGTGGTTGAGCGTCAATCTATGAACCAGGAGGTCACGGTTCAATTCCCAGTCAGGGCACATGCCCAGGTTGCAGGCTTGATCCCCAGTAGGGGACCTGCAGGAGGCAGCTGATCAATGATGTTTCTATCTCTCTATCCCTCCACCTTCCCCTCTCTCTAAAAAAATAAAAAAAAGTAAATACAATAAAACATATTAAAAACAACACCACCGGTGTTTTCACTCACTAACTTGTAAAAGGGCTTCTCCCCCCCCCGCCTTCTCCCTAAAATCAATAAAAACATCTATATATTTATTTATATTTAAAAGTCAGCCAGAGCAGCCGGAGGACCTGCAGGAAAGGGCCTGGGGAAGCCACCATTTCCACGCGTGCTCCTGAGACTCGGGTGGCCCCAGAGCTGCAGGCGCTCGCCCCTCATCCGTTAAATATCAGGGCTCATTGGCTCCAGGCGCCAGCTCTGAAGGTTCCCCCCTGGTGACCTGGGGAGCCGGTTTCTGAGGAGACGGGAATGCTTGGTCCAGCCTGACGCGGCGTCCTCCCCCTTGTCCACGGGGATCACTCTTTTCAATACGCCATTTGTCTTAAACCCTCGCGCCTGAAAATAGCCGCCGGCGTGTCATTGTGGTGAAAGGCGGCTTTCAGACACGAGTGTCACCAGGAAGTGTCTTCCCAGGGGAACCCGCGCGCGGCTCTTCAATCCTAAGTCCCAGCCTGAGCCACAGGAGGTGGGCCGCCGCCCAGGGGCCACACAGTGAGCAGCCGGGCCACTTCTGAATGAAAGGGGGCGCCGGTCATCCTCCCCCAGGTCAGCAGGCATGAGCCTGGGCAGTTGGCTCCGCCCCCTCAGTATGGGGCCCTGCTTCTCAAGTTACTCAGAGGAAGGAGAGACGAAGGGTGACGCAGACCGAGGTGCCACCTCCTGGGCATCCGTGCCCACAAAGCAGACGGGCTGCTCCAGTGCAATGAAACGGCCTCTCAAGGCCACATGGCCACAGTGTCTGTCCCCACTGTCCTTTGGGGCCAAGACTGCCAGCAGCTGGCATCCTAGGGATGGAGTAAACATGGGGCCCCAGCAGGGCCCCTCTTTCACTTCTCACTCTCTGCTCTGGGCCCTCCCTCCATGGCTCCTATCAGCAGCATCTCCAGCTGAAGTTCATTACCAAGAGGCACCAGGTGTGGGGTTCACTGTGTGAATGGTGATGTGGGGGTGCCCACGGTTAGGCGTTCCCAGTTGTCTTCTCTCCTGGCGTCCCCTCTGCAGAGCTCTGCCCTGGAGGCACCCTGGCCCTTCGAGGCGGCATGGCTGGCAGACAGGCCTCGCTGGGTGCCCGGGAGGTCCCAGGCGGCCAGGGGAGCTGGGCAGGCCCACGCCCCGGGCTCCGTGTGTCTCTCACCTGCCTGTTTCTGTGTGTGATCCGCAGCCCGAGACCGAGGACGAGAAGAAGCGCTTTGAGGAAGGCAAAGGGCGGTACCTGCAGATGAAGGCGAAGCGGCAGGGCCAGGTGGACCCGCAGCCCTAGATGCCTCCTCCCCTGCTGGGCTCGGAGCAGCCCCAGCACCCCACCACTCAGAAGTGACCCCCTTGGCCAAAACCCACTTCCCGTTGAGAGCTGGTGTTGTGTGCAGTGTTTGTCCCGCAGTGTTAACCTGCCTTCCCGAATGTACACCAAAGCTTTATTTATATATCCCGTTGTTGTCCTCACAGCATCGTCCGGCCCACACTCCCAGGCGCTGGGGAGCATTCCACGCAGTGCGGTCTGTCAGGACTCCAGCCTCACTAATAAAGCTGCTGTTCAGCCGGACCTCGGTCCTGGGTGGTCTTTTGTCTTGGGGCTCCTTGGGCTCGTCCGCCCGCCGGTGCCTGCTGGTGCCCCAGACACTCAGGCACAGCAACGCCCACTCACGTTCCCTGAGGACTTGCTGGCTGGAGAGAGCACCCCTTTCCCCAGGCCCCGGTTCCATGTCCCGGCCCGAGGTCTGCCTGGCTCCTGCAGGGTGACGCCCGTAGCGGGGCGGGGTTGTGAGGAGGTGGGGAGGCCGTGAGCAGGGGCCGCTGGGCTCAGCCAGCTGTGGCCTCTGAAGCAAGAGGCAGGGACTCCGGGAAGGAGCCTCCTGGTTGTGCCAGGCCCGTGGCGCATGTGGGAACTCCCCAGCCATGGGGGGGGGCGGGTGGTTTGGCCTGACTGTGGGGTGAGGGTCTGGGAGCCAGTGTGTTAGTGGTACCAGTGTGAGGGTGTGCGCTTGTGTGCGTGCACAGCCCCGCGTGCACACCTGTGTGCATCTGTCTGCATCCAGTCCAGCAGCCTCAGGCCAGATGAACTGCCCAGGCCACTGTGGGGGCCGCCGCCTGTCCCACCAGCTGAGAAAGGCCCCTCCACCAGCAACCTGGAGCCTGGGAGGATGTTCCCCCTCAGCTCGTCCCTGAAGCCTGGACACGGAGACCCCGCCAGCAGGGCCGCGCACAGGCTCCCGCGGACCCGAGAGGAACTGGGCTCCAGATGTGCAGAACCCGGGCCAAGAGCTTCGGAATCCGTCTTGGGCCCCAGTCCCGCTGACGGGTTATTTCCTGCCTGGGAGCGGGGGGGGGGGGG